AAGGAAGGAAGGTTATAATGAGAGTGTGGGAGGGTCTCAGGCAAGTCCTGCCTTAGCACATGGCCACCACAGGTGCCCCGACACAAGTCTCATGTCATGCCCGCCAGGGCCACGCCCACCCAGCCCTCCAAGGTCAAACACAACCCTGATGTGGCCCTCAATGAAATCGAGTTTGACATCCCTGCTCTATAAGCTTCATTTCTTGGTGGAGGCATAGAAAGAAAGATGATAATTAAGCATGATTTTTTTTGTAAGTAAAACGTCTTACAGGGTTCCCAGTTGTGTCAAGTCTGAGCATGTGCCTTTTAGATAGTTGCAAGCAATGATTAATTTATGAAGAACAAACTGAGGAGCAGCATTCCATCACCTTCAGTCCATATGGCATTGTAACTACAGTTTCACTACACTGCTAGCATTACTTCCTTCATAACAAGATAGTAATGTGAACAGTCTTGTTACATAGTGGAGAGTTACTGGAATAATTCCAAGACCAGACACCACCTAAAAAGTTCAACTTTGGCTCTGAACGAAGCACGACCTTGGAAGTCTCCTCTCATGAACTCCCACATGTTCATTTCTGGCCTCCTGGGAGGAGAGCAGATCCCAAAAACTGACCTTGCCTCATGAGGTAAGCCAGAGTGGAGAGGAAAGGATATTCTTCACTGTGACACATTGATCAGAATACATGCCAAATTAGATGCCAGGATGTTGCAATAAAGTGTTTGAGAAACAACACTCTTGTGCCTAAAAATGATACTATAGACTCCAAAAGTCTGAGTCTTTTCAATCCATCCAAACTGATCTCTTCCATCACACAAATAGCATGTTGTTCATGTCCTTTCAACATAGTTCTCTTGGGATATGCTTGGTTTGTTTTCCAGTAGGTAATATCCTCATGACTCACTTTAGCCTTTCAGGAGCTGTGGGATTTGAGAGGAGGTGGAGAAGAGGACTATATACACAATAGACCATTCTATGTTCTACCAAGCCACAGGCATGAGTCTTTGGAATTAAATGGCCTAATGGTTCAGTGGAATGTTCATGAGAGCTTTCCAGGACCAAAGGCTTTCAACATACAAAGAGAAGATCAAATACTTCATATGAAAGAAAAAAAAAAGAGGCCACTGTAGATTATAAGGAAATAGTTTACAAGAATGGGCATATTTGTATGAATGGAATCTCCTAATTCCAAGACAGCATGACTCTGATTGCTATTTGGGGGAAGCAATAATAGAAGGTTTTTGCTTTCATGGTCAGAAAGAAAGTCTTTCAAAAAATATCTGATTGGCTATTGTGAATAAAAGATATTGAATGAGATGATCCAGTAGGGCTTATTTTATTCTAGCTAAGTAGCCTTCATGCAGCCCTGTTTTTGTCTATTAGCATGAATGACAACCCTTCCTTTACATACAAAGAAAGAACAAATATACATTTGGAGATACCACTGGATCAACACTACAGGTTTTCCCTGACAATAACTGAAAATCATGCCACCACCACAATATTGGAATTTTGAAAACTGGTTTTAGATGAATTAATGTATGTAGTGAATTATTCTAATTAGCAGAATAGTTGGTAAATAGAAGAGTGAATAACAGTAATATACACTGCTCAAAAAAATAAAGGGAATACAAGCAGAAGACATCCGAGATCTGAATGAATGAAATAGCCTCATTAAATACTTTGTTCATTACATACAGTAGTTTTGTGTTCCCTTTAGTTGTTTGAGCAGTGTATAAACTACTGTATGTAACGAACAAAGTATTTAATAAGGCTATTTCATTCATTCAGATCTCGGATGTCTTCTGCTTGTGTTCCCTTTATTTTTTTGAGCAGTATATTTGTCCAAATTCATTTTAGTTATCTATCTTTCTAGCTCTTTTTTAAAATAAAGTCCAGCTTGGAAAAAAATTGCCTCTGCAGTGACATATTTAATTTTTCATACAATATATTCAAATGGTGTCCTTTTAAACTATGCAGTTTGATTGGTTTTGGCTTGCAATTTTGTGTTAACTCGACTATAATTGTGGAAGTTACAGTTTAGCATGTTGGGCAAATTCAGTCAACTGTGATTTGTTCCAAAATCATGTACAATATGCTACTTCAACCCCAATCCGAGGCCAAATTATGTGAATTGCTTAATTAAAATAAACTACAAATATGTTTCAGTTAGAAACTGGAGATAGGGAATAAATTTCCCATCTCTCACCCTGTACTAATCCAGATCACTGCGCTACATTCTATTATTTATATCAGAAGAATAATTTCTATTGCTGCAGAGGGGAAGTTTTTCAGGCCAATTGCAAATGCTGGGATTCCAATTCAGATCAGCACCATGCCAGAATTATGGTGGTGGTCAAAAATTAAAGCATTTTTCCCCTTAAAGTTTTGACCTGGTTTGGTTTTCCCATACCTGCTATGTACAGTCTATATACATTGCTAATACTTCTATAAATTTATATTGCAAATGAAGAGGAGATTTTTTTTTTTTAAAAAAGAAATGCTTTATGGTTTTATTGTTTTTGCAAGCCACTGTTAGTTGCATTCCAAGCCATACAAATCTTATAAATTAAAGATCCCTAGAACACTGTAATTATATTTAGAAAATATTTGTATAGAAATAAGAAATAGAACATGTATAAAAGGAAGTGTTGGTATTTAAGCTTTAGGTTTGCTTAGCCAAACTAACTTTATTTATTTATTTATTTATTTATTTATTTATTTATTGGTTCGATTTATATGCCGCCCTTCTCCGGAGACTCAGGGCGGCTTACAATGCATTAAGCAATAGCCTTCATACTTTTGTACATACCTGCTTAGTAGGACTTTCGGGCCCCCCCCCAACCTTTGTTTTTCTTTTTATAAAAAGTCAGCTTATTGCCCCCCCCAATCCGGGTCCTCATTTTACCTACCTCGAAAGGATGGAAGGCTGTCAACCTTGAGCTTGGTGAAATTTGAACTTGCAGTAATTGCAGGCAGTAGCAGCTGGTGCTACTTAATAGCACTTTAGTCTGCTGCGCCACCAAGGCTTCTTAAACAACAATGACACAACAGCTAAAATCCCTTTTGTCAAAAGAATCCCCCATACCCAAGTGTATCACCAAATTGATTTTCAGATTTATACACTTTGCCAAGGGATAATTTCTGGTTCCCTGTGTGAATTGCCCCTAGCAACACCGCTGAAGCTCACATGCTGCAAAAAATATCCAATGGTCCACTTTTCTAGCACTAAGCCATACATATTGTAATTGCAATTCAGAATTGTAGATGTATTCATAGCTGGGGGCTGTTGATACAAACTATATGTAAGGTGACTATTGGTGGTGGCTGGAAACATGACACTTCAACTAAAGTTCCGCTGAGGATGCTACCTAGCCTGGTGATGAAATGTTCAGAAGCCAAACAGCAAGCTTGGAGAATAAACCAACACCACCAAGTGCCACCCAAGTGACAAATGTTTTCCATCATCTCAAATTCAAGGCCACTATTACTAACTGAACCCTTGCTTAACCTTTGCTACTAAAGACCACTCCTCTAAATCGGAAGCAAGTCCTGCACTTTTTGGATAGAAGCCTGTTTCCTTTTTCCTCAATCAGCTACATCTGGGCCTAATCTGAGGCCATCATCTCAAAAGACCTCTGACACATCAGCCACGAGGAAGCATTCTTGCAGCTTGAGTTGCACCAGTTCATCAGTTGCACAAAGGATGCTATGGCCTTTGTTTATTTATAAAATAAGGGATTTAGTGTCTAGATTTCTTAGATCTAAATTCCACAAATGAGAAACATTCATTATGAAGACTAATTGTACTGTTTAAAGAGCACAGAAGCAAGACTTCATGATACGTTCAACTCTCTTGGAAAGCAGCTGGGTAATGTCTTACAAACTAGTCAGCTGAATAGCTTCAGTTCCACAGATGGTCTACTTGGCTTCCCACAGACATTGGCTGGAGCTAGTTCAGGACTATAGCAAAGTACAAGTAACTATGTAGCACACAAGACATTCAATACAACAGTTTTATGGGCTGTGGACCTAGAGCTATATATTTTAAATGCTGTAAAGGTGACATCAAGGCTGAAAATTTAAAAAAATAACTAGAACTCGAGATAAGGATTCATTTGGAGGATATTTGTTTCCTTGGATGCCAGAAAAGAAACCTTAAACAAGAAAGTGGTGAGGTAGATGCAGAATCATGAATCTCACTCATGCAAATGATGCCTGGGATCTACTACCTAGTTTTAATGTTCTGCAGAACAGACATTGACATTCTCACAAGGTCTAATCTAAAAATATTCCCAGACACAGCAAATCCCAAACTTGGCAAGTTCATTTTATTCACATCTAAAATGTATGGGTTAGTTGGAAAAGTTTTGCAATTTGCAGGATTGCATTACGTATGGGATTTTGTCACTGTGTGTGAACTATTGCCTTGTGGTTGATATGTTTGAACTTCAAGAATCAAGATGTGTTAATCAAGAATGAAAACGTGTTATCTTAGGGGGGTGGGGGGGATGCTGCCTTATATATCAAGGGCTAGCTAAAAGAACTCAATGAACTTTAGGAAGCTGTATCAACAAGCTCTAGTGGATATTATTTTACCTTAGAATATTGAATGCCATATATTGTGAAGATGCCCAAAGTCAGTCTAGAGTTGGGTGGTGCCATTAATTAATTAAACTGAAGGTATTATGAAGAAATACTCCAGTCTCCAGTTTTGTCTGGATTTCCCAACAAATCGTTTTTAATGCTCCTGAGTTTTAATGTTATGAAGAAGAGAAAAAAGACATTGATTTTAAGTTTAAAATAGGGAGGAATACGTGAAATTAGCATCATTTTTATTTTCATGAATGGACTACATAAGCTTTCTTGGATAATAAAAAAAGTGGGTGGGAACAGTCCATAGTTTAGTTTTGAAGCATACCCATCTATTAGAAAAGAGACAACAATAAGCAGGAATGTGGCATTTCTAATCCTTCCTTCTTCCCTTCCCTTCCCTTCCCTTCCCTTCCCTTCCCTTCCCTTCCCTTCCCTTCCTCTTTCCCTTCCCCGTCCCTTCTCTAACCTTACAGGTTCTCTGATGTGGTAAACAGAACTTTATTACTGTACATTATACCAGATCTGGACATAGCTCAGATTTTTACAAAGGCATTACAAAACTGGCAGTTTCATTAGTAGGTTGCTTGTAATGACCATTAGCATAGAATATATCTTTTTAATAACTGATGAATGTAGAACTAATATTTTCTGTGAGTAACTTGGATGTAAAGGCTTTGTTACATTTCAGTTCCATCAGCTCAGATTCAGATCAACTCTATTTTCTTACTCCTATGGATGTCCATCTACAATCTAGCTCCTCATTCACCAATTTGGAGAGATTCTTTTTGAGCCCTTTATAACATATTCCATTTATGTCTTCTCCTCCCTGGATAATTTGATGTCATTCCAGCTATGTTTGTTTTTTTTTTCTTGGAAATTTGTATCGTCCAAATATATTTGAGATCGTCATCACTAGATTTATTGAGTAAGTGTAATGAACAGCCCAAAGTCTTCCCATCAGGAAAAGTCTGTCATATCTTGCATTTTGAAGGATCAATAAATGAAAGGAAAAGACAGAGAATTTCATTATTTTATCTTATTTAGAATATATTTTAACAATATATTAAGACACAAAAAAAGAGAGTACATGAAATCAATTAAGCCATTAAATAACAAAGATTATATTTTAACAAAAGCCAAGAGTAAAGAGAGCTAAACTTCAGTTTTTACTGTACACAGTATCCACCAGTTTACAGACCTTGGACCATTTACTCTTAATTTCAAAGATTGTTAATACATATTAAAGATGCATTTGTTCAAACACTATAGAAAACTTTTCAGCAATTATTTTATTTCTGATTTAGTTTATATTCTTTCATTGTAGTTCTGCAAAAAGACATTTTTAGTTCTTGGGGGAAAAAAAATTTTTAGCCTAAAAAAAAATCACGCCTTGCTGCCCTTTTGAATTGTTAAAAAACACAAGATACTCATACCTTTAATTTTACCTGTCATAGTTTCCTTATACAGATCTGGGATATGAGGCCTATCTCACTTACCAGTCGTTCTTGAAATTGGGGGATTTAATAGCTGGAGACCATGTGGCAGTGGTGAAATGTAAAATTTGTTACTACCAGTTCTGTGGGCGTGGCTTGTTGGTGGGGGTAATGTGATTGGGTGGGCATGGCCAACTTTTTTTTTTAACTTTTAAAAGCATTTTTTTCTACAGCCTCTTTGGCTTAAGAGGTTGGAAAAAAAGGCTTTTAAAAGCCTCTGACGATCAGGCAACTCAGCTGGGATCGTCAGAGGCTTTTAAAAGCATTTTTTTTTCTACAACCCCTTCAGCCGAAGAGGTTGTAGAAAAAATGCTTTTAAAAGCCTCTGACGATCCCAGCGCGTGGCTCAGCTGGGCAGGGGGGGGGGGGCGCAGGGATTTTTGCTACCGATTCTCCGAACCATTCGCCACCATCGCTACCAGATCAGGCGATCCGGTCCGAACCGGGAGCATTTCACTCCTGGCTTGTGGTCCCATTTAATCTTTTTCCCCATCACATTGTCATCTACAGATTTTGTTACCTCACTGCTGATCCCTAACACTAAATGTTATGTACAAGTGAAAAAGCACTAGTCTCGTTACTGATTTTTTTAAAGAATCTGTACTTTTCCCTCTCAACTGTAACAATTATCCATGCTATTCCTATTCTCTGCTTCAAATAAACATACAGATCAATATTTAATTGTTACATTTGTATTTTGTCCAACTTCTAATGGTGCAAATAAATCAAAGTGCAAAGAGGGGGCTGAGGGGTTTTTTAAAATTGTCTTTCTGTAATTTTTTAAGGGGCTTGGGGAGGGGGGAGGGGAGGGAGGGTTATAGGGAGGGAGGTTAGGCTCGGCACAGGGGCATGAAATGGGAGGTACGGAGTGGGGTGTGGAGGGGCTTAGTGCGGGTAGGGAAGAGGGCGATTCTATCAGGACCGTGGTTGGGAGGGGCAGACATGGCGGGAGCAGGAGGCCATATCGTGTTATGGGGGCACGCACCCGCTGTCTTCAAGCGGTGGCATGTCTTGGCCCCCAAGGCTCTTCTCATTCCCCGGGTTGTCCAGAGCTTCAGAGCCCAGGCCTTAGGCTGATGCTATGCAATGCCAGGTCCATGGTTAATAAGGCCCTCATCTGTGAGTTAATTCAGGAGGGGGGAGCGGACCTGGCGGGTATTACAGAGACCTGGTTGGGCCAAGAGGGGGGGTCCCCCTAGTAGAGATGTGCCCACCAGGTTTCCGAGCATTTCATCAGCCGAGGGTCCAGGGCAGGGGTGGGGGGGTGGCGGTTGTTATAAAGGAAGGTCTTGATCCGAGGGAGGCCACTGTACCTCAGATAGCCGGATATGAGTCTCTCCTGGTGAAGTGGGGCCATGGGATGCAGGTGGGCCTGCTGATCACATACCTGGCTCCCTGCCACATGACACCGGCCCTGCCCGAGCTTCTCAACGTTATTGCCGGAGTGGCAGTTGATACCCCCAGACTGTTGGTCATGGGGGACTTCAACCTGCCGTCTGTCGGTGAGGCGTCTGAAGTGGCTTGGGAGTTCATGGCTTCCATGACAGTCATGGACCTGACACAACTAATTCATAGCCCTACTCACCCAGGAGGACACACTCTGGACTTGGTTTTTGTCTCTGATCAGTGGTTGAATGGCCTGGATGTAGGGGATACAGTTATTGAACCCCTGTCATGGTCGGACCATTTCCTCCTGAGGCTGGACTTTCTGACCACTGCACCCCACCTCAAGGAGGCGGAACTGACCAGGTGGTTCCACCCCAGGCGCCTGATGGATCCTGATAGGTTCCAGAGTGAGCTTGGGCCAGTTCCTGAGACTCTGGCTCACGACTCGACTGAAGACCTGGTGGCCGCCTGGGATAGGACGGCTGCCAGTGCTTTGGACCGAGTCATGCCTTTGCAGCCTCTGACCCGGTGCCGAACCTGCCCGGCTCCTTGGAGAACCAAGGAGCTGAGGCAAATGAAGCACCGGAAAAGATGCCTAGAGAGTGGTTGAAGGGCTAGTCGTTCCGAATCCGACTGAACACTAATTAGGTCTCATATGAAGACCTATTTAGTGGCGATAAAAGCGGCAAAGTATAATTACTTTTCTACTCTTATTGCATTGGCAGATAACCGCCCAGCTGCCTTGTTTAGAGTGACCCGCTCTCTCCTACACCAGGGAGCGTGGGAGGACCCCTTGCAAGGACAGGCTGAGGATTTTGCACAGTATCTGCACGATAAAATCGCTCAGATTCGGGAAGGCTTGGACTCTAGATTCCGGCGAGGTGTCTGAGACTGGTCTTGTGAATGTTATCTGGGATGAGTTCGACCCTGTGACTCCTGAGGACGTGGACAGGATTCTGGGAATACGACTGATCCTGGACCTCTGTACTTTCCGTTAAGGCCCTGAAGACTTTTTTATTCCACCAAGCTGGCCTAGCCTAAAAGGTCTTATGGGTTAGTTTTTTAAATTGTATAGATGTGGGGTTTTAAATTGGGAGGCTGATCGATTTAATTTATTTTAGTTATTTTTAACTTTTATATTATATGTATCTTAATTCCAGCTGTCCATCGCCCTGAGTCCTTCGGGAGAAAGGCGGTATATAAATTTAATAAACAAACAAACAAACAAACAAACAAATAAATAAATAAAATGTAAGAAGCAATGGAAAATTAAGTGATGCTAATCAATGGTAAGAAAAATCATAACGTTTCATAAATTAAGCAAGGTAACCACACAATAAAACCTTAATATTGCACTTTGAGTCGAGCTCTTACTTGACAAAATCTCCCAGACTGGTGACTATCAGTCATCTTAACCAATTTCATAAATTACACTTAGGATAAAATTCTGTTGCTGACACCCCAAGATATATTAGATGCAAAACCTATTGGAAGTAGCTATAGAAATGTTATTTAAAAGTCTAGATGGGCTATCAAAGGACTAGCATGTGGTAGAAGAGCTGATATTAAAGCCAAGGACCTTGACCAAATAAAGTTGTATTCCCATCAGAAATTCATAAACTATTGTACATATCAACTGCTATGTAAAATAAAGTTGTATTTACTCAAGGCCATCAAATCACGTCAGCTTATCCAGAGACGTCTGCTGGTGGTGGCAGGTGTGTGCATGTGTATTTCCAAATACTCAAGATAGTGGCTGCTCCCATATATATATATATATATTTAATTTGATTTATATGCCGCCCTTCTCCGGAGACTCAGGGCGGCTTACAGTGCATTAAGCAATAACCTTCATACTTTTGTATATTTATACAAAGTCAGCTTATTGCCCCCACAAACTGGGTCCTCATTTAACCTACCTTAGAAAGGATGGAAGGCTGAGTCAACCTTGAGCCTGGTAAGATTCGAACCTGCAGAAATTGCAGGCAGCTGTGTTAATAACAGGGTGCATTAAACCACTGTACTACCAAGGCTATATGTCACAACACACACAAAAAACAAAACAAAACAAATAGGGCTTCATTTGAGACCATAGTTGCATGGTCACAACCACCAGTCTAACTTCTTAAAAGTCCCTCTTCTCCCTTGGTATCCCACTCTCATCATCTAACATTCTCTCAGGATTTCCTCTATAGCTATGAGATCTAAAAACATTAGGTTTAAGTAGTTTATGTATTTGTGCTGCATCCAAAGAGTTCAGCTTAAAGTCCAAACTCCATATCACCTATTGGAACAAAATCATGGATGTGTAAAATACTTACATATTCAGTACGGTAGTCCTTGATTTATGACCACAATTGAGCCAGAAATTGAGACATTTGTTAAGTGAGTTTTGCCCCAATTTAAGACTTTTCATGCCATGGTTGTTAAGTGAATCACTGCAGTTGATAAGTTAGTAACCCAGTTGTTAAATGAATCTGGCTTCCCCATTGACTTTGCTTGTCAGAAGGTAGCAAAAGATGATCACATGACCTTGGGACACTGCATCCATCATAAGTATGAGTCAGTTGCCAAGCATCTGAATTTTGATCGCATGACCATGGGGATGCTGCAAAGGTCGTAACTGTGAAAAATGGCCATAAGTCGCATTCTTCAGTGCCATTGTAACTTTGAACAGTCACTAAACAAACTAGGCCTACCTGTATCATTGTTCTGTATCTATTTCTTAGAAATGGAAATAATTTCTGTGGCATTCTCTGAGGTGTACAGTATTTCTGAACGGACTCATTTAGGATAATGCTGCAGATACAGATTTATTTCCTGCCTCAAGGCAAAATCATAATCATCGTTTCCATCTTACAAATGGGGCATTTGTGTTCATGCGTGTGTCGGTTTGTGTCTGCACACAGCCACGAGGGAAGGGAGACTTTGGCAGGATGCCAGTCGACAGAAGGCAGAATCTTCTTACAGATGGCCGAGGCTCCACGGGACTAGTTCTTTCCTTGTGCAATTAGCATAGAACTCTTCTATGAAAAATGAGCCTCCATGACTGTTTCAGAAGAGAGGTTAAGTGAAACCAAGGGTGGGAAAGAATCAAGAACTAGCTTAACTCCGTGTCCTTAACTGACCTCAAGCAATGGGAGACAAGTTAAGGACAGAAATGCAAAGGCAAGGAGCTCCTTTGGGGGGCTTGTTGTGATTTCAAGATAGGCTCATAATGTCACTGTAATGTAATTTGAAGAAATTTAATTTCCTCTTTATTATTGCCAGTGCATTTTTATGCAGTAGTAAAATCTTGATGCCCCCACCCCCCTCCTTGTTTTTTTACTTTGCCTGAAGACATATGGGCTTTCTGGATCACAGCAGATTAGAGTGTTCTCTCTTTAATAGTCTGAAAAATATGCTTGTTATTGACCTGATGGTCTATGACACCAGGCTGTGTGCCTGGTAGGCCAGAAGAGCATATGTTAATTTGCAAATATATTAACTTAAAGAACAGGATCGTTTCCTTTTAAAAATATATTTTAAAGAATAGGAAGTGGCCATATTTGGAAAGGAATCTTTCCTGAAAAGAAATAAGGACACTTTATATAATTTAGGGATTTTATGTGTAATTTTAACCCGGAGTTTTTGTTTTATTTTTCTGTTCTATTGTTGTGAATTGCCCTGAGTCCACTCGGAGAAAGAGCGGCATATAAGTCTAAACAAACAAACAAACAAACAAATAAATAATTATTCAATATATTGTTTTGTTTGTTTTGTTTTTGTTTTTATTGGATTTATATATCGCCCTACTCCCGAAGGACTCAGGGCGGTGAACAGCCACAGAATAAAACACATAAATACCAAAATTTTAAATAGAATAAAAATGAATTAAATAATTTGGCTGAGACAAATTTAAAATACCCAATAATTTAAAAACAAATTAAAATTTACATTTAAAAGCGGAAAAGATTTTGGCCAGGCCAACTTGATGAAATAAGAAAGTCTTGAGCGCGCGACAGAAGGTGCGCAGATCCAGGATCCTCCGTATCTCCGGGGGGAGCTCGTTCCAGATCGTAGGTGCCCCCACAGAGAAGGCTCTCCCCCTAGGGGCTCTCCCCCTAGGGGCTACCAGTCGACATTGTTTGGCCGATGGCATCCGGAGGAGCCCCTCTCTATGGGAGCGTACTGGCCGGTGGGAGGCTATTGGTGGTAGCAGGCGGTCCCGTAGATAACCAGGTCCTAAGCCATGGAGCGCTCTAAAGGTGATAACCAAAACCTTGAAGCGCACCGGAAGACCACCGGGAGCCAGTGCAGCTCGTGCAGGAGAGGTGTTACATGGGAACGCCATGTCGCTCCCATAACCACCCTACGGCCGCACTCTGCACCACTTATTAATGAAACAATGATTTGAACTATATCTAAACTACAATAGAACTTCAACAAGGTGAAATGAAGAGGTAGAAACTAAAAAAAAAAAGAAAAAAACCAACAAAAGATTTTTGCTACATAGCTGCAATTAGATTAAAATATAGGACTGTGAAGACAAAATTCAGATTTCAGTTACTCAAATTACCTAGAAAAGAAAAGTCAAAACTGCTGGCAAATCCTTTTACCACTCCCCCCCCCAAAAAAAACTGCCCGTGCATTTTACGGAAATACATACAAAATCACATACACATGAAAATGTGCAAATTAAATAACTAATTAGAATAAAATCAAATTAATTAATTAATTTCTATAGGTGCCTATTTTAGATTCTGGGCTGCAAACAATCATAAAATAGCTAAAAACGATTACGGTATAAGACAAAACAAAATATATATGGCAACTGAGAAAAATTATCAACATAGATATCAATATGGCCAGAAAACAGGGCCATTCGAGGCCCAAGCACATAACCATGTCTTCAAGTCCTTCTGAAAAGTTAAAGCAGGTCAGGGTCACCCTGATGTCTGAAAAAAAGATGTTCCAGGCTTTATAACTCTTTATAATTTTGATAAAAACAGACCAATTGTTTTGTAGTTAGTAAAAAGGACTTGATTGCATTGAAATGTTTGGCTAGGATGATATTAGTTAATATTAATTGGAGAGTGAGCTTAACTCTCGGTTAGTCATGTTTGTTGTTTGGTTTTAGTCCTGTGTTTATGTGTTTCTATATTTCGCTTCCTATATTGCTTTTCAACCATTATTGTGTGTTAATTTTATTGTAAATAAATTTAAAAGAAAAATTTCTTTTAAAAAAAAGAAAGATGTTCCAGAGGGCAGAGAAGGAACATTTATTTATTTCTTTATTTATTCAATTTGTGTGCCGCCCCTCTCCGAAGACTCAGGGCTGCTCACAATGCATTTAAAATCATTATAAAAAACATTTAAAAATTAAAAACATTAAAAACATTAAAACTCATTCACACCATTCATGGCCAGATCTCGCCGGATCGCAAGAGCAAGGTCAACGGCACCAGGCCTGCTGGAAAAGCCAGGTCTTCACCGCTTTTCGGAAGGCCAATAGGGCGGGGATGGTCCAGACCTCAGGAGGTAAGTGGTTCCAGAGAGCTGGGGCAGCCACAGAGAAGGCCCTCCCCCACGGGCCCGCCAGCTGGCATTGTTTAGCTGATGGGACCCGGCGGAGACCAACTCTGTGGGATCTTACCGGTCGTTGGGAGTTATGCGGTAGAAGAACATCTCCTAGTCCCTGCCATTCCTTGGCTGACAGGACCTGTAACATGCCCAACCTGCTGGACCAAATTGGACTGATAGAGACAACTGGGAGAAGACAGTGCCTCAGGTAACTTGGTCCCAAATTATATGTCTTAATACATATACTTTACAAACCAATCTGGAAATAGGGAAGAGAACTGTAATATTTGACAGCCTGTGCAAATGAACCCTGATTCAATTTAAATTGGAATTTTGCGTTTAAAAAATGACATGATTGGAGTTGAGTTTGGGAAGTCATTGCAAGTACAAGTCTGTGGAGATAGCCAGAAATAGCTTCTGAAAAACAACTTTCTGAAAAGAGGCCACTATTTTAACAATTAAAAAAAATAAATAAATTTGTACATGCCTCCACAACACTTCTTCCAAAGATTTTTACATTCCTCTTGTTCTTGTACAAATCTGAAGTACTTTTGTTTTGGATATTAACTTCAGTAGAGGCCTGATCTATGCGATCTCTTTCCTCTAAGGACCATTTCCAGTTCAGGAATACCTTATGCATAACTGTCTGCCTGCTGCAGACTGTGCACTTTTAGTCTTTCCTATGGTGTTTTTGGCAGATCTCTTGATATCATTATTCATGTTGACACATTCTGTAAAGTAACTGAGGCAACTTTTGGGAAATAGGAGTTTTTAGTTTCCTTTTCAAACTCACAAGGGGAAAAGGGGGAATCTGTATGCACATATGTGTATATTCAAAAGCATGCATTTATTTAATTTCACATATTTTCCTGTCCCTCCTATCAAAGCATTTAGCTGACATTCTAGACCAGTGATGGCTAACCTTTTCCAGACCGAGTATCCAAAGCGTGCACATGTGTGCATGCCCGCCTGAACCCCTCAAATGCAATGCCTACACAGCCCCCATGCATGTACTCCGCTCCATGTATATACATGTGCCCCCCACACGCGCCCTTCCCCCACGCATGCACATGTGCCCCCCCACACATGTCCCACCCCTGCATATGTGCAGCAGAGACCTGAAGACCAGGTGGCCGGTAGGAGGCGCACACGCATGTGCGGCAGAGTTGAACTGGGGTGACAGCTCACGTGCCCACAGAGAGGGCACTGTGTGCCACCTCTGGCACACATGCCATAAATTCGCGATCACAGTTCTAGAGTGAACTGCTTTCTAATTTTGCCATCATAAAATGGTAAAGCAGGTTAGCCTAGTTAATGAAGAAGCTAGTGCTAGTGACTCTGTATCTGTATCTTACACTTTAGAGATCTAAGCATTCCCAAACCCAGGTCAACAAAACTCTGTATTTTATTAAAAACATGGAAGTCAAAATACTCAGTTTAGTATTTTAAGCAGGATTTTCCACTGATGCTAAAAAGAGATACCCCCCCCCCCCCCAAAAAAAAAGTCTTCCTTTTCTTTCTTCTCCTTCATTTCCTTCTGGCATGTTTGGAATTAAGCCCAAGGAAGGCTAGAAAATTATAATATTAATGGATTAGTTTGACCTAGGTTTAAGCTTCATTGTCCCCCACCCCACCCTTACAAACTTTCAAATGGATTCAGATAGGACACTGGTGTTTATAATAAAGCTGGTTTATGGACCTCATCATTTGAGATCTCAGATAGGGATGACGACAATACTGCACAGTAAAATAAGCTGCAAAGAGAAAGTCGTCATGTCCTGCTCAGAGGTCACTCTGTTGGACAATGGCACTTTTAAAGTCTGTTTTGCACTTTGCTCCATAATTTCTACTAGAAAAGGGACAGCATCAAATACATTTTTAAGATAATGAAAAACAGAATCATAAATATGTTAGTGATCAGTCTATCTGACCAGGCCTTGCTGTGGTCTCTGGAGAATGATCTAACTGCGGCTATTTGCACTTGGATAACCTCTTGGTAGCAGAAGAAAATGTTTATGAATCTAAAATGGCTCACAAACATTAGAACAAATGATGACTTTATTCAGAGAGACTGAACTGTAAATGACTTCTCCTGGCTATTTGGCATGGGTTAGTCGCCTATTTTAAAGCATGCAGTCAATAAGCAGTGGCCACGTTACTCAGTCTTGCTGCTGAATTCCAAACGATAGCAATGCTTACAGAGAGTAGCCTACTGTATAAATGGAGCAGTCCCCCAAAGAAAGAATAATAATAAACAGGTTGGCAGAACTTACAACTGGCTCCTGAAGGCTGTGCTTACATCTCAATGGTGCAAAGCGAGTGGATTAAGTTGAGAGAGATGTTCCAGGTGCAGTCTGTTAAAGCTGATTTCGGTTTCTCACTCTGGGAACTCTGCTCTTTGTTGATATTAAGGGAAATTGCAAGAGAGTTTTGCAATCCTTGTTATGTTTACCCCAAATCACCCTGCAAGACAGGAAAAATGTCACCTATTTATCTTTTCAAACATGGAGGCATTGTGTGACTTCTTCCAGATTATAGAGGATCTTCTCAGCTAAATGGAGAGAATAAATAGCCTTCATGCCAGTGGTGAAATCCAAATTATTTTACTACCGGTTCTGTGGGTGTGGCTTGGTGGGCGTGGCTTGGTGGGCATGGGAAGGAAGGATACTGCAAAATCTCCGTTCTCACCCCACTCCAGGGGAAGGATACTGCAAAATCCCCATTCCATCCCCACACCTGGGGGAAGGATATTGCAAAATCTCCATTCCCACCCCACTCTGGGGCCAGCCAGAGGTTGTATTTGCCAGTTCTCTGAACTACTCAAAATTTCCACTACCAGTTCTCTGAACTACTCAAAATTTCCACTACCAGTTCTCTGAACTACTCAAAATTTCCCAGAACCTGTCAGAACCTGCTGGATTTCACCCCTGCTTCATGCACAAATGATGCTCATTTGCATATGTACAGGGATTTCAGCTCCAAGTTCTGGAGAGATGCAATTCCAAGTTATCATGTTGTGGGTTAAATTGTGGCCAAAAAAAAACATATCTCTGAGCTGACAATTTCATTTTTTGTCGGACAGAACTAACCAGACATTTTGATGCTGGGTTGATACATTGACTTTATATGCCACAGGGAAAGGTTTAATTGCTGGAAATGGGGAAATGGGAAATAGGAATAAGAGCAGTGTATTAGTATCTTGATTTTTAAGTACATGTTACAAGGCTCAGTATTGCTGATTAAAGAACTCAACATTGAAAAAGACCACACTGAAGATGTCAAGTGGCATAATAGCTTTCAAAAGTTTTAATCCCTGAAAACTAATGCAAGTTATTTATAAGCAGTCTGTAGGGGATGAGTATATATGTCTGCATCATTCATCTTTTTGACTTGCTTTCTATTTGCTATACTTTTCAGTAGCAACTAGTTTGTTCAGATGTAAAAACATAAACTTGCCAAGCCACTTAGACAAATTACGTTATGATTTGGGAGGAATATATGAAATAGTTTTCCCTCTTCTGCCTTGATATATATGATACATTTTATGGATAGTCATTAGTCATTTGAAAACTTCCTTTGATTGCATGGTAATCATCTAGCCACTGGTGAAATTGAGGATTATTGCACTCCTGGTTATCCCCATGACAGCACTTGCTTTCAATAGCAGGGCCAGAAAAATACCAAAATCCTCTTTCTACGTAATCAGGACCATCATGTGCAATATTTTAAAGTGTCCCAGTCTTGGCTAGCTGATTCCACTAAAATTCTGAGAAAACATGTTTCAATAAGAGCGTGCCAATTATCACAACAATAAATGATTTGTTTATGGGCAAGCAATTGAAACTGGATGCATGTAATTGTTTGCAAACTCTGACTCTAACAAGGCTATTTTTTTCCCACAATATCTCACCCTTCTTTTCCTAGGTGTGATTCTGCTTTTCATTAGAGCAAACTGGCAATGAAGGAGATGTAGATAATGTGTTGTGTATGTTCCTGGGATGAAGGAGGGGAGAGCTGGTACTAAAGCTGGCTTAATGAAAACCAGCTTTTGTAGAAGCAGAAAAGACCTTGATAAACCTTATAGCTTCCTGCTAGGGGGTTTATTCAACTTTTCTCTTGGATCAATCCCCAGTTTTAGTTGGAATCTTGTTTTGAGACTTTCTACCCCAGGTAAACTATTTAATTCTTCACTATGGAGAAGAACTTTCAGAGAAACAGGAGAATTGGGCTTTACTAGTTGATCTAATATAAGCCATATGTACTTACATGCTTCTTGGATTCTAGGTGGAACATCCCCCTCCCCATGCCATTACCAACTGTTGCAGAAGTTTGGAGTGGGAACAACTTGTGATACACTAAAAGGCCATTAGTACAGGGCTATCAAACTCACGGCCCGTAGGCCAGATGCGTCATGCACTGGCCATGCCCAGTTTAGCAAAGGAGAAAAAGCTCCCGATACATCACGTGACACCACTGTAACAATGCAAGCTGGACACCGCTGCATTAGTAGAAAAAGAATTGGAGCCATCGTAGATATTATTGCTTTCTTCTCCTCAATGACATTTAAAAAGTTCTAGCATATATGGGTAAAACTTGTGTAATTATCTACAAAAGAAGAAATGTGACAGCCATACATCAAATACAATCTTAAATAAACAGTGGAGGGAATGTCCCAGGGTATTTGCCCATATGTATGAGGATATGTTGGGCTAATGAACTACAAACTCTGCTTCTTGTTACCGTTGTAGTTGCAGATCTATTTTTAACTTGGTTGCACTGAAATCATTGGCTGGACAAATAGAGTAGCAAGTGTAGATTAGGTGCAAGCCTGGTCAAATTATGCTGTGCAATGTTAATGCCATGCATGTGGGAAAAACATTGGTTGGAATTGAGCCCCCCCAAAATCTGATACCATTTCCAAATTGCATATTACCTCCATCCCATTCCCTGTCTCCCCTATAATATTGTTAAATTGTATCCACATCTGGTCATAGGAAAGGATAAAATGAAAATAAAACATGGCCATAAATTTTTTTCACATATTTGTAAACTAGGGCCCTGTATGATATACCATCATAAACAACTAACAGAGGCCAGTGTCACCTAAATGAGCCTATACTTATTCACATACAAATTATTTTGTCTGCTCCACAGCAATTTAGCTTTATTTGAACAAGATTTTTTTTCCTGTTCCCACCTATGTTTTGCAAAACAGACTACTAGAATATTTTGATTATTTGCTTTCATGAAGAAGTTCCTTTTTCAGATTAATAATGTGAACTTGAGTTAGGCAGAGAAGCTTTAAAAGAGCTAGAATGTACATTCCATGTGGTGTCCATGTTTGTCATAATGAAATTGCTGGTACTAGTAGTGAAATATTAGGTCTTGCCAATAAGTTAGAGTGGAGTATAAGCACTAAGTGTTTTACATACTCTAAATGGAATGTGTGTGGTTAACAGTGATACAAAAGCTATAAAATCCTCTTCCCAACTTTCTACAGTATGTTATGAATAGGTAGCATCTGTTTTCATTATCATGCATCCACTGTTTTTTTTAAAGAAATGTACCTAGGTTTACCCCCTCCTCAAAAACTCCCCTCCCAATCCAATTAATTTCTTCCTTCTTCAAATGATACCATCGACATTAGAAGCTTATTTGCACTGTAAATTACACAATTTATGAAGAATGATATAGAGGAATATCAGATCACTCTATTTCTAATCTGTGATAATTTTGCATCTGTTCATTCATAATTATATTTTACTGTTGCTAAACTAATCTGCTACTTTTTTATGAGAAAACAATAGGCACGATATTCTGATTCAGAGGTATTGGCAGGGGTGCTATTCAGCAGGTTCTGACAGGTTCTGGAGAACTGGAAGCGGAAATTTTGAGTAGTTTGGAGAACCAGCAAATACCACCTCTGGCTGGCCCCAGAGTGGGGTGGGAATGGACAATATCCTTCCCCCAGGAGTGGGGAGGGAATGGGGATTTTGCAGTATCCTTTCCCTGCCACGCTCACCAAGTCACACCAAGTTCACCAAGTCACGCCCACAGAACCAGTAGTAAAAAAACATTGAATTTCACCACTGGATATTGGGAAGATGTTAATTGAAAAGTTACACACTTGCAAATGCATTTTATATGCAGTTTGGGATTACTTATGAGCCCCAAATTAACCTGCTTAAGTGGATGTTGTGTTAAGTATGAAGGGTAAATTGCATTCTGATTGCTAATTTGCAGAATGAGGATCAGGTTAGTTTCCTTTCAAACTTAGATGATATAAAACCTTTGAGCATTCCTGGTACAATACATAACTGCCTGAAATATGCCCATCTGTATATATTCAGTCCAGCATGAAGCCCATTAGAAGCATAGAAGTAAAAAAGTGGTTTCTCATTTGGGCCTCTTTTCTATCTTTTTAGTCTTAGAATTGTGAAATCACGGCATGCTCTTTAAGGAAGTGAGGCAACTGTTCCTCTTTAATTCTTCACTTGGCAGTAGAAGACAGAATTCATGGAGAAATGAATAGAAAGGAAAATAAGGTGCAATGCATCTCTTTTCTCCTATTTAAGCCATGATCTGGAGTACTTCTGGTCTCCTTGAGAGGCTGGTATAGACCTGTGGGATTATGTGGTTCAGGCTGAGAGGCTGGATGGGATTTTCCCCTCCTGCTGAGAATCTTGTTGTGAAAGAACAAAGGAAATCAACTCTCGTGGGCTGGAGAGAGCCGATGAAGTTAAGAAGAGAAAAGAACTTGAAAATGAGACTGCGAACAGGGAGGGGGGGGAGAGGAATAATGGATAATGGCTCAAGTGCGGCTGCCCAGCTGGAATAGTCTGAAGGGCTATCTATCTTGCCTTTTTATTGTTTACTGCAGTGGAAAATCAGGGTTAATAGTACAAAGAGGAATAGTACAAAGAGGAACAGCACGTTCCATGAGGAAATCTAGAGATGGTTATCCAAACCTGACAACTGTCTAAGAGGCATCGCAAGGAGAGTCAGCCTTGTTTTGGGCAGCTCAGGTAGACACACTTGCCTGCTGCAGGATGGACAGCGGAGGGGAGAAATGCCAGACAGGAGGTCTGTTTGGCAAGAGGACGGGAAACTAAAACCTGGGCTGCTCTGTGGTTGTTTCAGGCTTTGCTTTTCTTCTTTCTCCTGCCTGCTCTTTCCCCTGTTGTTATGCTGTGAGTTCCCTGTAGGCACGATAGACGTGTTCCTATGTGTTTGTGTAGCTTCTAGTATTGTGGTGACCTAAGCTCCATTGGGGCTTTTAGGCATGACTGCAATAATAAATAAGAAGAAAGGAAGAATGGAAAGAGGAAAGGAAGAAGGGCAAAGTGAAACAAATAGGGGTCTGCAAGAAAGGAAATGTGAGGCATTTCAGATCAGGATTTGACTTTGAACTGGCATTCACCTAGTATCAACTGGCAAGGAAACTCACCTCCACCCACCTACCC